ATTTATTGTAGAGATGAAGTCTCGCTGCCCAGGCGGGTCTCGAACCGGCGGGCTCAGGCAATCCACTCACCTCAGCCTCCCAAAGGCGCGGGATTACAGGCTGAGCCACTGAGCCTGGCATTTTTTAAAGAAACACAAACCTGAGAAAAAGTTATGGAGGACAATATTTTTGAATCCTTACATGTTTTTAAATGTCTGTTTTACATTGATACTATTGTTTAGCAGGACATGAATTTTAGGATAAAATGGAGACTTCTGAAGGCATTGTTCCCTTGTTTTCTAACTTGCTGTATCGCTCTTAGGAAATCAAATGTCAGTGATTTCAATTGTTGTTGTTGAGGTCTCACACTGTCACTGTGCATGGCACAATCATGGCTTACCACTGCCTCAAACTCCTGAGCTGAAGTGATCCTCCTGCTTCAGCTGGGACTACGGACAGGTACCACTATGCCTAATTTAAAAAAATAATTTAAGTGACAAGATCTCACTATGTTGCACAGGCTAGTCTCAAACTCCTGGGCTCAAACAATCCTCCCACCTTAGCTTCTCAAAGTACTGGGATTACAGGTCTGGGCCACCATGCCCAGCCTTTTTTATTGGTGGCCATAAAGCAGGCCTTTTCAATCTAGAATCTCATGTCTTTCAGTTCAGAGAAATTTCTTAAGCAATTTCTGAGATAATTTTCTACTCCCTTCCCCCTGCTCTCTCTACTAGAGTTCCTACTAACTGGTTACTAGTATTCTCTGAAATAATTGTTTTTCCTCATTTTTTCATCCCCTGGACTATTTGTCCTAATACTTGTAAAATGTCCTCAGCTTTATCTTCCAAAATTTCTATTTGAAGTTTCATTTATGTAAATGTAGTTTATTTCAAAGAATGTTTTCTGAATTATTAAAATAGCATCCTATGCTTATTTCATATGTACAAATTTTCCTTGAGACATCACTCTTACTTAGACCTAATAGTGTCAGGCATCTTGTGATAAAATGCTTCTTGGGAAAAATTTTACCACCACAAATATTTTTGTTTATATAGGGTTTAATCAGCATATATATACATACACTTTCCAATTCCTATGTTAATTAAATTTAGTATAAAATGATTTCTTCCAAACTTGTCAAATGTCATACAATGTTGGCAAAAGAACAGAAAAAGTAGCTTATGAATATTTGTGGCCAGGCTAAAAGTGGAGCTTAAGTGTACATAACTGTGAAATCAAAAGACATGGAGATGGTTCCAGCAATCAGGCTTGGCCAAAGCACGAGGCTTTTGGCAATGGTCTGGAACGAATGTGGAATGCACTGCCCACTTGAATCAAAGTCCAGATGCCTGTGATTTCTTTTTTCCATTTTCAGTTCTCTGTCGTTTTGTGGGGGTTTTGCTTTGGTTTGGTTGTTGTTGGTGGTGATGTTTTGAGGTTATTAGGCCTCTTAGCAAGAATTTAAGTGCTTAAAAACATTTGGTGGCTCAGCCTGTAATCCCACGCCTTTGGGAGGCTGAGGTGAGTGGATTGCCTGAGCCCGCGGGTTCGAGACCCGCCTGAGCAGGCGAGACCTCATCTCTACAATAAATCAAAAAATTAGCCGGGCGTGGTAGCGTGCGCCTGTAATTCCAGCTACTCGGAAGGCTGAGGTGGAAGGATCGCCGGAGCCCAGCAAGTCGAGGCTGCAGTGGCCGCTGGGTGACAGAGTGAGACTCCAACTCAAGAAAAAAAAAAAAAAAGAAAGCATTTCACATGAGAATCCCCGATTTAAATGAATGATACACGTCTTCATATTGACAAATGACCATGGCACCTTCTGTTGGTTGTGCAGTTTACAAAATGCTTTCATTTGCATTCTCTCATTAAAAACCCTCTGAGGAAGGGTGTTAATTCCCATTTCAAAATGTCTTGAAGTTTGAAAAGCAAAGAGTTTTATAGTACAAGGGTTTTGAGCCTTGATGTTTTCACCTGTAAATCGGAGTAAGTCTCTCATCAGCGTTTGTGTGTTGTATTACTTTATATATGCAGAATGACTAATGCACCTGATACATACATACTATGCATGCAAGAAGTGGCTGCCATCATTGTAACTCTCTGCCTTCTTATACTAGACCCAAGCAGTGTTTCAATGCAGTGCCCCAGTGATGAAGACATTGTCTCCCTGTCTCAAGTTTTTTTCTTGCTCACTTGGTACCATCTGTACCAAACTGACAGCTGTCATCCTTCTGTTTTTCACTTGTTTATAAAATATTTTTTGTGTTCTGAATTCTTAATTACAAACTTCTCAAATATGGAAATCATCTTCCAAAAACCTTGTACAAATCTGGGAGCCTCTCACAATGCTATTGGTTGACGCAGGTTGCCTTTAAATTCAAATTTCTTTCACTGCTAAGTCTGCTGCTAGAAGGCAATCTTAATTTCAGGCAAATGGCAAATCACTCTGCTGTCTGAATTTCTTAGAAGGGTTTGCTCTGCTTACATATTTTATGAATAAAATTTGTCAAACCCTGCACAATTTGATGAATAATTCTTAAAGACAGACTCACTTAATTCCAAGGGCCATAGGGTTCTTTTGGGGGTTTTGTTTGATAAAGAGCCAAGGGCTTGGCTGACATAAATCTAGTTTATGGAAAGGAAAGCCTCAGTCTTTATGTTCCAACTCTTCACAAGGCAGCACTACCACCCACGCCCCTTTTCTTGAGACAGCATCACTTCCGGGAAACTAGGAAATCCTTGCAAACGAACATTTTTCTGTATATCTATTTCAAGAGCTTAGTCTAGTAGTTCTCAAATAGCAGTGGGCACAGGACTCACCTCAGGAACTTGTTATAAATTCCTACCTGAATTCCCTCAAAAATGTACTCAATAGCTAGGGTGGAACAAGAAATCTACATTTTAAACATACTTTAATGTATGCTGTCATATCATGTGATTCTGACATAAGTAGTTCAAATCCCACAATGAGGAAGATGGCCTAGATTCAAGGTTATACCTAGAGTTGTGCTATTAGGCAATAAAGAGGAATCTTTCCACTTCTTGGGCCCTGTGAAGTAGCCAAGACATTTGAAGAAAACCAAGCCTTCCTGGTTGCTGGAATTAGCCTTGGTTCACCATAGATACCTTTTACCTATGTGTCCACTATTAACTTTCTCAGTTGTTTGTACTAATTTGAAGTTTGTTTCAAAAAAAAAAGACAACCATCTTTTCTCTTAACTAAATGCTTATACCAAAACATTAGATAAGTTGTTTAAACAGTAAAATTAAGAAAACATTTTTCTTCCCTCTACCTGCTTGTAGAAGGTATCACCATTCGCTATCATCATGATTTCAAAATAGAATCAGGAGGACTCGGTAATAACAAGGGAATGTTGCTTCCTACCACCATGTATTACAATTTTTTCTTTCCCTCCACAGCTATGAATTCCAGGTGAAACCCAAAAACCCACTGGGTGAAGGGCCAGTCAGCAACACAGTGGCATTCAGCACTGAATCAGGTAATCCCATCAGCAGGAATTCCCAATGGAGCAAGATTCTCATAGGGAGCTTGTTTGAAACCCAGTTAATACTATGCATGCTCAAAAAATTACTTTTATTTCTAAAAAACCATCTATGGAAAACAAACTGATGAAAGTGCCCTTAGGAAAACACCACGTAAGCTTTTCCTCACTTACCTTGATGTCAGGAAAAAAAACATAATCAGCCTATACTCTTCAAAAAATCTAGTGAATGCTCACCTGTATGCATAAAAACATCAGTGAGTACCTCCAAAAAGGGAACTCATGATAGTTTTTTTATACGTTATGACAATTACTAATTAGATCTTCCAAGTCCCAATTCCTTAACGAGGTGCATCTGTATATACAGCATTATAATTTGCATAATAATTGTCATACCAACTATAGTTCATGGCATCTTGGTGATTTTTACCATGAGTAGTTTTTATATGAAACTACAAGACGAGCCGGGCTCCATGGTTCAGCCTGTAATCCTAGCACTTTGGGAGGCTGAGGTGAGTGGACTGCCTGAGCCCGCGGGTTTGAGACCCACCTGGGCAACTTGGTGAGACCTCATCTCTACAATAAAATCAAAAATTAGCTGGGCGTGGTAGTGTGCGCCTATAGTTCCAGCTACTTGGAAGGCTGAGGCGGAAGGATTGCCGGAGTCCAGCAGGTCGAGGCTGTGGTGGCCGGGAGCGGCCACTGCACTCCAGTCTGGGCGACAGAGTGAGACTCCAACTCAAAAAAAAAAAAAAGAAAAACTACAAGAGGAAACTTTTTAAATTGAAGTGAAGGTTGGAACAGCAACAGAGACTCCTAACCACTCAAATCACATGTAACAGATACCTGGCAGGAGATTATTCAATTAAGAGCAATTTCCAAAACAAAACAGACTTTCAAGTTCAGCCTTTAGCAAGAGTGTACCATTTTGTAAATAACAACTGTTAAGCATCCACCTTCCTCACCATGCCCCTGGAATGTTGGGACAATCCTGATGTCTGCCTTTTGTGTTTGTTATTTCTCCTCAGCCGACCCAAGAGTGAGCGAGCCAATTTCCGGTAAGTACCTGTCTCAATGGGAACCGACGACATGCTTTCCAAACTGATTCAACTAAACAGACAGGACAGAATTTGAGTCATGATTTCACTTTTTTCCATTTAGTCTTCTTAGAATATGAATCAGATGTGAATGTTTACATAACACACTAAACAGCACTGAGAACCTATGATGTTCTCGGAACAAGGTGGTCATTTGAAACTTGCTTTCACTCATGTATCAAGTCAGCTCAAATTTTCTGTTTAATAAGTCAAGATATAACACCTTTATTTCTACTTTTAACCAACATTAAAGCAGCAGTTTCAATTTTATAATATGCTGCAAATAAGAAACCTGAACCTAAGGGACACTTGTCTACATCTAGCACTGCAGAGGCCGTTCAACACCTAAACACACTGCTCTGAGATTTATCTTACTTATAAATAAACTTATTTTGGTTTACTTTTTTAAACCTTTGTAACATTTTTAGTTCCAATATTTGGCACTAGGAAAAACCAGTTATCAGTAAGTTGACAATAAACTTTTCAAACTGCTTTTTAAAGCTTTAAGATACCTCTTAAGAGCCGGGCTCAGTGGCTCAGCCTGTAATCCCGCGCCTTTGGGAGGCTGAGGTGAGTGGATTGCCTGAGCCTGCGGGTTTGAGACCCGCCTGGGCAGCGAGACCTCATCTCTACAATAAATCAAAAAATCAGCCGGGCGTGATAGCGCGCGCCTGTAGTTCCAGCTACTTGGAAGGCTGAGGTGGAAGGATCGCCGGAGCCCAGCAGGTCGAGGCTGCGGTGGCCGGGAGCGGCCACTGCACTCCAGTCTGGACGACAGAGTGAGACTCCAACTCAAAAAAAAAACCAGATACCTCTTCAGTACCCAACAGTAAGATAACGAAACTCAAACCATGTGTTTTCCTAATACAGCAGGAAGAGATGCCATCTGGACTGAAAGACCCTTTGATTCAGACTCTTACTCAGAATGTAAGGGCAAACAATTTGTCAAAAGGACGTGGTATAAAAAATTTGTAGGAGTACAGCTGTGCAACTCTCTCAGATACAAGATTTACTTGAGCGACTCCCTTACAGGTAAGCAGGGCTGCCAGACCCATTTTGAGCCTCTGACTCCTGGGAATCTTTTGCAACATTCTATAACTCGGTCGTTTCTAGGGAGAATTCCAGGCACTAAGGCGTGATGTAAATATAAGTTTCCCTCTGAGCAAAATGTTATAGTTTTCATCTTAGAAAACAAAGATTAAAGACAAGCTATTAGAAGGTAAATAAAAATGTAATTTGAAACAGTGCCACCATGGCAAGCTAGAATTTACCAAGCATGGTAAAGCTCAATTTTGTTAAAATCACCCCAAGGATAAAAAGCCTATAGATAATAAAAGTAGTTTATTAATATCTAACAATATTCATGGAAGGACTATAACATCTTTTAGATAGCAGAAGAGTTATAATCCTTATGCCATTCCAATAAGGTTTCAATTTTCTATATACATTCAGTAAAAATTTTAAAAACACAAATATATAAGCTTGGCCCCAATATTTAAAAAGATAGATTTTCATTCATTCATTCAACAAATATTTATTATCTACTTTGTGCCAGACACTATTCTAGGTGCTGGAGACAAAGCAGCAAAAAAGATATTTATTTCCTGCTTTCATGTAGCTTACCTCTTCTTCCTCTCCTTTGTAGGAAAAGACAACAAATACGTGAATAAATAATTATTTGGAAGAGAATTTGTAAAAGGGTGAGAGAAAATGGCTGAGCAAGGATTGAAAGCTCCTTTAGTTAGACTGGTTAGGGAAGGCCTCTCTGAAAAAGTAGCACTTATGCTAAAAAGAAAATTATAAGAAGGAACCAACCATCCAAAGGTCTAGGGAAAAAGCATTTAGAGGTAGAGGACAAAGAAAGTACAAAGGCTTGAGACAGAACATTCCCAGCCCGTTCAACTAGTGTGACAGAAACTCAGTAAGGGGAGGGGCAGGAAGGCATGAAGTAGGGACTCTAGCTGGGAGACTGTTTCACAATTCAGTCAAGATATCTGTGGCTTGAACTGGAGTGAGAGGGCATGGGGGGAAATGTACAAGAACAAGAAAGATGATTATCTGAAACTATTTGATCCAGAATTATCACATATCAAAGAAAGTAAGATAGTATAAGAGAGTAACACTTCTTATTTCTGGTTCTTCAGGAAAATTTTATAACATAGGCGATCAGAGGGGTCATGGAGAAGATCACTGCCAGTTTGTGGATTCATTTTTAGATGGACGCACAGGACAGCAACTCACTTCTGACCAGTTGCCAACCAAAGAAGGTATGTTTCCGGATCCTCCTCTTAAGCGACAGGGTTTTACAGATTAACCTAGAAAGAAATCAAGCTGAGCAAAGCGATCAGTTTAAAAAGAATTCTGTAGTACTACTGCTCCACATATCTAGCTAGGAAAAAATGAAGACTTCAACATGAATTTGTCAACTAGGATAGTGAGCCAAGGGAAGTTATACAGACATATATAAGTGTTTTCTACTTCAAAAAAATCTGAAACAGCTATAAAAATAGTGTCTCCCAAACTTAAATCATTCACACATAACCCTTATGATCTTTGTCATACTAAGCATACTTGTTATTTTTTATTCTCTTAAAGTTTTTTTTAAAACTATTACTACCATAAATGGAAATGTAACAGTATAATTTACCTTATAAGTAAACATATAATTAAAATAGAAAATTTTGCTGAGAAATAAATAACTTCTGTAAATTGCTAAAGACCCATCAGCACCAACCTACGTAATGAGGACTGAGTAAGATTGAAAATTAATCCTTGTCTAAGCAGTGAAGAAGGGGGTAAATTAATTGTTCATATTACCCAGGAATCACCAGGAGTTTCTTTAAATACTTTAAACTATTTGATTAGATTTTTCAGAAACATATTTTGTTCACTGGCACTTAAAAATAACCAATTGTACTAAAAGATGACTTAAGCTCTGTGAATATATTAATGGATAGCTGAGCTTGTTCTCAGACACCACCAACCATCCCAATCTTAACTTGCTATGGCAAATGTCAACAATCTTTCAGGTGCCCATTGTAGCCAGCCACCCGGGGCCTCTGTTGCTATTAGTTCTCTAAATTACCTTGCTTCAGAACCCAGAGTAACCTTCAGTCATTCAATGACATTTTTCAATCTACAAGCAGTGAGGGCAGAAATATAATATAGCAGCTATTAAAATGAAACTATTTTCCCTCTTAGGCTACTTCAGAGCAGTCCGCCAGGAACCTGTCCAATTTGGAGAAATAGGTGGTCACACCCAAATCAATTATGTTCAGTGGTACGAATGTGGGACTACAATTCCTGGAAAATGGTAGATGCTGCACCATACGCAAAAGTACCTTCTGTTTCTGTTTCATCATGGAAAAAAAAAGTCTTTGGAAACACTATGGTATTTGTCACATTCATTTAAAGCTACTTTGTTTACTATGTATAAAAGTCTACAATCTAATTAATAGCAATATTAGATGTTTATTAGAAGATTGCTGAGAGTATTTATCAGGTTTTACAAAGTCATTTTAAGAAAGCAAGATATTGACATTAACAGAATAACATTTTTGGGAAGCTGGCTCCCTATTCATGGTATTTTAAGAGATTGTTTGTATATTATTTATCACACTGTTGTAATGATGTTTTGAAATACTTTTATAACAAAATTAACATCAAAAAACTTATACTTTTTAAAAAATATTTACTTTTTTTTGACGTGTACTCTCTTCCTATTGATGAATTAATTCCATAAATCTCTACTTAGTTTAACTTATTGGATCAAATTATCTTCAGTTTATGTATCTGGGGGGGAAAGGTCCTAGCATTCATGTTTATTTAAACTTCAATTTTTTAGCAATAGCTGAACAGCTTTTGTGAGGAACTTAGTTACACATTCATGCTAATATACACTTCCTTAAAATACCTGCAAATTAAAAATTTGTTTGAATCAGCACATTTCACTTCAGCTAAAAATGAAGCTGAGACGCTGATATATTCAAGTTTCAAAAGAAACATTGTTTTTTTCTCTACCAGTATGTATGTAACGACTTCTGAATATACTTTGTCAAACTATCCCTTTGAGTAATTGTCTTCATATTGTTTCTATGAGTCTAATCAAACTGTATGTACTTAGAGACTGAATGTGAAATCTGAGCACAAAAAGATAATGCATGAGACCCCTAGCACTTAACAGGTTATTTACTATATATTTATGCATAGGACCTCTGTGAATGAATGTATCAAAGAATGTTTTTGTAACTCTGTTCAACTTAATCTGTTATGAAAATCTGACTCATTTTTATTTAAAAAAAAATATTGTTTCCCTTCAGCTGGGGAGGAAGATGGAAATTCTTGCTACATTGTTGCCCTCATTCTGAAAGGACTTTTCCCTGTGCTTACCTTTCAAACATGCTTCAATTTTATCAGTGCTACATTTTGTATTTTTCAAACAAGTATAAATTCTGCAATAAAGAGGTGTAGTTTTTTTTTAAGATTTGTATTTTTTTTTAATTTCTGAATGGTTCACCAGTATGTAATATACCATTTATCTCTGTAAGAAGGGAAATCAGTAATTCAGGATCTACCAAACTGCTCTTATATTTTTTAATAGTGTATTTATTATGTTTATAGATTAAGTTAACCAGTCTTCCTGTGAAGACTATTTTATAGTTTGTTTTAAACCAATGATTGTTAAATGCATTTCTTTCAAAGGAAGGAAGGACAAAAACCAAATGGTACTGTTTTTCTGTGAATGAAAATCTGTAAGTTAAAATGTTAAGACCAAACACCAACAAGTATTTCTGAAAAATATGACTTTTTTCACATATATATTAATGACTAAATTAAATTTCACAACCTCTAGTGAATTCAATCATCTTTATTAACCTATCAATGTTACATAATATCTAGTCTTTTCAAAGGGCTCTACTTTAGTACATCAGGTTAATAGTAAAAAGCCAAGTAAGATGGCTAAACCTCAACCTAGCATTTTAATATCCTCTGGACAAGGGAAGCTAGAAAGTCAATCACTTTACACACATAGGAGTAGTGTTCCAAAATAACTAGGAAGCTGCTACATTTTTAAGCAGGGAGGAAAAAACTTTCATTTTGGTCTTTGTGTTCCAGCAAATCATACTTTCAATTAACAGCAACAATGATATCATAAAAAAATGCTCTGCTTTTTAAATTTCTGAACTTCAATACAAATTAAAATAGTAGTATTGGAGTCTTCTGGGAGGCAAATAGCTAGCAGCTACATTGATCAGTGTGGCAGAATCTCCTTATCGATAACCAAGTCCAGGTTGGGTATAGCCCTGACCAAAGGGAGGACGGTTACGTGCATAGGGGTTAGGGCCACTTGGAGGAGGGACCATGGTGCTTCCAGAAAGAGGAGTAAAACCTGGTCTTGGTTGATAGGCCCCAGGCTGGCTTGGAGCCACTCCAGGCTGAGAGGCAGGGGCCACAGTATAAATAGTAGGCTGAGAAGTTTGGGTGGCATAAGTTTGTGCAGGATAATTGCTCGCCTGGTACTGCTGTGGTGTCTGAGCAGGCAGTTGTTGAGGCTGACCAGAAAAGGCAGGAGCTGGTGCCTGGGAAGTTGGTTGTTGGCCATATCCCTGGAACTGCTGAGGTTGCTGGGGTCCAGTCTGCTGACTATAGCTTGCTGAAAAGGCAAAATAAATAACATATATCTTATTTCTCTTTTAGTAAAACTTTTCCAGATAATTAGTCTTACTGTTATGGACCAAAAATGATGAGAAATCTAAGAGATATTTATATAACAAGTAGAGTGGTAGACTCATCACAATTTTAAGAACAAATAGCTACAAAAGAGGCATTTTCTACAATATTTTAAACCCTCTAATCCAAGACTATATCATCCCTGACAGCAAATTCCCGCTCTAGCATAATTCCTAGAAAAGAGTAGATGCTCAAATGATAAGTGAAAAAATATTTTCTAGAAAGACCAAAAATGCAAAAGCTAAACAGTCATTAATCAGGTTTTTCAGGAGAGACCTATTTAACAACAGTACCAAATAAACACATTGTAGAGAATGAACATTTTAAAATGAAACAATACTACAAATACATCTTCAAGTTTACTCACTCTATAAAAACTACATCAGTTAAGAATACTAATTACCATTTTCACAATCCTTAAAATCATTCACTTCTTTTAGATTTGGTATCTGATGCTTTTGTCTTTACAATTCAAAATTTTGACTTAGGAGTACAACATAACACATAAAAAGCATAACATATTGCCCCACAAAATCTAAATTCATTATTTACTAGGATGTACTTTTTTTTAAAAAAGAAAGTCTGCTTCACTGAAAACTTTTATCTCTACCATGAAACACACCTGCAGCTACTTGCAATGAAACCTCTCCATTGACTGGAATCCTGTCAGCATTAAATACCAGATACATAAGAAAATTATTAAAATATGTACAACCCTGGATTGAAAAAAAAAAAAAGGATTGAATGAATTTGAGTATATTCTGAACTCACCTTGAACCTGGGTTCAAAATTTACTCATGAAAGAAACCTTTATGACATACTCCATGAACAAAACTGGAAAAAGGTCACAGAGGGAAACTGGCAAACCAACAGAGTGTCAAAGATGGTCCAATGTTACCACCACCACCACTTAGTCCCCAAGCAGAGTATTTAGTTGACTATTTCCGTATCTCTCAATCAAATTCAAAGTAATAGGACTAATGAAATAAAAAAATGCAAAGATCATAATTTTTCAAAAACCTACATTTTACTCGAAGTGAAGCCCCTGACTAAAATTATTAAGAGCAACCTTAGTTAACAAGTAAACCAAATTTCTACAGCATTTTACTCATGGTAGTATCTAAATACTAAATTGAAATCAGTTCATGGAAAATCAATTCATGGAAAATCTTGAATGTCATAAAATTTCTCCTATCCTCTACATAAAACTTAACTTAAATTTTTTATGACAAGTTTTTGGAGAAACAGATGGATTCAACTTTTTATTTAAAATGTCTAATCAATTTAAGACTGTAAGAAAAAAAAATTTTTTTAACTGCCTTTTTATCCTGGCAACTGAAATCTAAATTGTTTTTTTAACTGAGTCTGGAAGCAAACAGATTTCTAATTATTAATCAGGAGAGGAAATAACCCTAAGGGTTGAGAATGCCATTTTATTAGCAGCCCACTAGTCTCTTGACCATAATGTGGCAATGATTCATTACATATAGAGTCTCCTTTCCACATCCCCCCAAAATAAGTAACTTTTGGTAAAATACATCAGAATTTTCAAGAAATGGAAATTCTATTATTTTTTTAATAAAGAGTCTAGCACTATCTAGCCTTTCATGGAAAAAGACTGCCAACCCCTAGCCTAGGTTGGAGAATGCAGAATGGCACAGGGAAGTACTTAACTGTGAAGGTAAGAGACCTGTTTCTGGTCTAGCTCCATAAATGGCTACACATGCTTTGACAAGTCACAATCTCTTTGAACCCTAGTTGCCTCTTTTATAAAATTAGTGGGTAGGACAAGTTCAGTGGTCTCAACCATGGCCGCACATTAGAATGACCTGTGATGCTTTTAAAATACCAAAGCCTAAGTGCCACCCCCAACCAAATGAAACAAAATCTCTGGGGGTGGGACCCAGGCACCAAAAAGCTCCCCAGGTGATTCTGAAACACAGTGAAGGCTAAAATTCCCTGGGATCTGATGATTAGATCCCTCCAGCTCTGATATTCTCTCTATAAATTATATAATTTGTAACACTTTATTTTTAAAAATTGCATTCTGAAAACAGCCTTCCACCTAACATAATCCAAGCTTAAATTCTATTTTATACAATTAAAAACAAGTAGCTACAAGTTAAATCACTCTACAACAAATACAATCTAAATAAAATTGCTCTAAGAGTTAAAATATGTCAAACTTCAATTAATGACAGAATGTGACGGTCTAGAAGTCAGCAAACTTTTCTGTAAAGGGTCAAATAGTAAATAGTTTAGGCTTTGTGAGCCACAAAGTCTCTGTTGCAACTACTCAACTCTGCCATTATATTGCCAAAGCAGCAACAAACAATTTAAAAATCAATGGAAGTAGAAATGTTCCAGTAAAACTTTATCCACAGTAACAAGCAACAAGTCAGATTTGGCCTGTAGGCTATAGTTTGCTGAACCCTGCTCTAGCTAATACTACAAAACTCCAGAAAATAGAATTTAGTCAAGATTAAACCTACATAAATTATTTTTAATTACAGTTAAAATTTTGGTTGTAAAACAAGAGTTGGTCACAAACTCCTCTCTGACATAAATATAAAAAATTCCAGAATTATAACCAGAGATTTATCATACTTAAATACATATAATCTTCAGTGGACAGATGGTAAAACAGAATCAAAATACCCAGGATGTTTATTTAAAACAACTAAATGTTATTAGCTGTCTTAATTACATTTTATACAATTGTATTTTGATAGCCTGATTTTGGTACTGCTACCTACTTGCAAGAGATTTAAAAACCCAAGTAGTTTAGTTTGAATTTAGTAAGATCACCTTTCCATGTTGAATGAACTGTTAATACTTCTACAGGTACTAAGAGTACACTGGATTTATGTGTTACACATAAATGGGAGAAAGGAGGATCTTGCATATTTTACAATTCTAAGTCACTTAAAAGGCAAGTTAATCATCTTAGTAAGAGTTGGCTTTGTATTAAAAATGTTTTTAGGCTGTGCCCCAAAGTGTCAAAATAAAAAATATTGATTAAAAAAAAAAAGTTTTTAAACTACAGGTTACTGCAGTCATCTGCTATGATTATAAGTTGTATATGCCCCTGGAAAATTGAAATGTTAATTTACAATAAAATATTAACATGTAAAATATTTAAAAATAAATAAATGATGGTTCCCTTAATAAATACTTAATAGCTAGGGTGACAATGCATTACAAATAAAATAAGAGGAAGAGCTTAAAGTTTAATTAAAAACAAAAAACCAAGAGTCAACTGCCCTGTGACACCTGCTCACCTGAATACTGAATACCATACTGCTGAGGCGGCTGGGGCTGAGCCTGTGGCTGCTGTGCTCCATAGCCAGCCTGCTGCTGGTACTGTTGGTACATCTGACCTAAAAAAAAAAATACAAGGAAAAGAGGCAGGTTTAACCTGGCAGAGAGAAACGTTTTCAAGGCACGTTACATTCTCTCCCCACCCAAACACATAAACACACTGAGTTGACAATGTACAAGAATGTGCTTGTTCCCTTTAAAATGTCTACGAAGATGAGAAGAATGAACAATTTAAGAAGTGTGATTGCTCTGCTGTGAATTAACTGCAGAGAACTAGTTGGCAACAAGCATTATGTGATGTAACACTAGTGGCTACCACTTCATAAAGCCCAGAAAAGCAAATGTTTTCAAACCCAAATGTCAACAAATAAGTTTAATAATGTTCAGTAAAAACCATGCAAGCTGAAAAGGCATAAATGAAAATATAAGAAAAGTGACAAATACTATTAATAGCATCTAAATCTTTCTAAAAGCACTACGTTCATCCTCTAAAGGTTTGGACCTCTGTCATCATAGGAATGGACTCTGTGGTGGCAAGGAACAACATAACATATTTTGTTCCAGAACTCAAACACCTTTGTCAACAGTTTTATTTTCTATGAATACCAACATCTGAATGGTCTAGTCAATCATATAGAATCCAATAAAGCTTAAATGGTTCTTCATAGCACTTTTAAATAATGGCAGACCTTTTTAACACTGGGGATGTGTTCTTGGACATGAGAGTCCTAGCTGGGGTCAGTTCCTGTGGAGAAACCTTTGAGACATTTATTACTTGTGATTTTCAAGCAACAATTTACTGGTTTTTGTTTTTGTCATTTCCACTAATTCTCAGTTGTTTTAATGGTGAGCGTAACTAAATCTAATGTCTACAGTGCAATAAAACTTGCATTTTAATGTCTAGCATGTATTTAAGGTTTTTAAATGATATATGTTGGGTATTTCTTGAAAAATATTCAAGCTACATGCTATTAATCAAAAGACTATGGGCAAACTGGACACTTATGGCAGAAGTTGAGACGCGTACTAGAATAAAATAAATGCATTATTAAATGCCACTTGAACTGAGGTGCAATAGGCAGTTCGCACTCCCAGGCTGACATCAAGAAACAAAGCCCATTTTACAGCCGTGGCTGTTCAGTCCTGCAGGTGTCTGAGTGCTGCCCAGGCAGCACTCAATGAGATACACCCCATATTTATACCTGGCTTATTTCCTAGCAAGCAGTTGTATTTTTTTTTATAATAAAAACAAAATCTTCTCAACTACTTTTTAAGCTATTTATCCTCTTCCCAAATATGAGAAAAAAAAGACTCACAAAATTTTCTTAAATGTTTTCTCAATGATTTAGACTGATAGCATAAAAGGTATTACAAAAGTTAGCCAAATTTAGATACTACCTTAATCTTGGGTTGCATTTCATAACTTTTAGAATACAATAGACCAGAATCTAAAACAAAAAGGTAAGTTGATACAGAAATATAATCAAGGAGAAGAAATATATATAGCATTAACAATGGACTGTCTTAGAAATTAGAGTGATTAACCCCACAACACAAAAATAAGTAAAAAGCAGACAATGAACACATGAAAAAAGTTCAATCCAGTTGGTAATTCCTCTTTCAGATACAAAAAAAACTAAGCCACTTATCTAAGGTCAATAGCCAAGAAAATAACCATCAACAACTGAAAAGAAACATCACTAGAACTCAGGCATAACTCCAAAGCTTTAACTTACAAAGCAGTTTTGCACATATCCCAAGAGCAAAATAATCTAATTTAGGCATTTTCAAACAAGGCTGAGATAAAGGCTTCATGTAGTAGACGCTTGTCATCAATGACTAAGGAACTCCCAGTCAAAAAAGTGTTAATTGTTCTCCTCAAAAATGTGCAAGGTACAATTCTTTACTTACGGTTTTTTTTTTCCCTAAACTGCTACAAACCCATTTTGAAAATACCACTTCTAGGGTTAAAAAATTTCAGAGATTTACTTACTATCTCTGCAAAATATTCCTTTTACAGCAATCCTCAAATAGCATCTTTTTATTCAATGTTGTTCCATTATAACACTGATGGGGAGGAAAAATATTCCTAGCCAGGGCCACAGTCTGCATGGAGCGTGCATGTGCAGGGTCTCCTCCTGTTTGAGTGGGTTTTTCCTGAGTACTCCAGTTTCCTCCCACATCCCAAAGATATACAAGTTAGGTTACTTGACATGCCCAAATGGCCCCCATCTGAGTGAGGGTAAATGTATGTGTGAGTGACACCCTGCGACAGAATGACAGCCTGTACCAAGATTGGTTCCCACTTTGTGCCTTGAGCTGCTGGGACAGGCTTCAGCGACCCACAACCCTGAACTGGAATAAGTGGTTAAATAATTATCCTACTTGTTTGTATAAATCTTTCTTAAATGTATTTATAATTCACATTTGTTTTGGGTCTTTATGTAGAAGTTTGGTGATATTTTTATGACCAGAAATATGCTGTAGGAACTTAACTCATTTATATCAATTAGCCTATTGGTAAAAGTAGTTTCCTTATATATTGTTTCACTTCAAGTCAGTTTCCAGAACCTATCAACAATGTTAAGTGAGGATTTACTGTACTTATTTTAAACCCACTTCATTCAAGTACAAATGGGACTCTGTCACAGTTTTCTGAAACTTAATTAAGAAGTCTGTGTTTAACTGTAAAATAAAAAGGAGGAACATCTCTACATACTTAAGAGAAGTATATAGGATATATGAAGTGAAGAAAACAAGATGCAGACACAGCAGTGTTTTGAGCAATTAAAAAAATACAATCATGCATTGCTTAATGATGAGTACATGTTCTGAGAAATGTGTCATGCAAACATCAGAGTGTACTTACACAAACCAAGACGGTATAACCTACTACACACCTAGACTGTATGGCATAGCAAATACAAACCTGTATGTATAGCATGTTACTCCACTGAATACTGCACACAACTGTAACGCAATGGTAAGTATTTGTGTATCTAAATATAGAAAAAGTACAGTAAAATATGGCAAAAAGATCTAAAAATGGTACACTTGTATAGGGCAATTATCACGAATGCAGCTTGCCAGACTGAGAGTTGCTCTGGCAAAGCAGTGACTGAGTGAGTGAAAGTGAAGGTCTAGGACATTACTGTACACTTATGTAGACTATATAAACACTGTACATTTAATCTACACTAAATTTATTTTTTTTAATTTTATTTCAATAATAAACTAACCTCAGCTTATTGTAATTTTTTTACCTCAAACTTTTTAATTTTTTAACTCTTTTGAAATACTTAGCTTAGAACACATATGGCACAGCTGTACAAAAATTTTCTCTTTATATTCTTATTCTATAGGCTGCTTCTATTTTTAAAATTTTTACATTCTTCTACTTTTTAAAAAACTATGCCACAGATTTTTAAAAATCTATGACAAACACATGCATTAACCTAGACCTACACAGAGTCAGGATCATCAATTTACTGTCTTCCAACTCCATATCTTGTCCTACTGGAAGGTGTTTAGGGATGGTAACATGCATGGAGCTGTTATCTCCTATGGTACAAATGTCTTCTTCTGCAGGACCTATCTGAGGCTGGTTCTGTAGTTAACTTTTTTTTTTAAAGTAGAACTACACTCTGAAATAACAATTAAAAAGTACAGTATATACATAGACCAGTAACACAGTCATTCATCAAGTAGTATATACTATACATAATTATATGTGTTATACTTTTATACGGCTGGCAGTAGGTTTGTTTACATCAGCATTACTGCAAATATATGAGTAATGTTTTGTGCTACAATGTGAACACAAAGTGATCTGGCTACATATCACTAGGCAATAGGAATTTTTCAGCTCCATTTTAATCTCATGAGACCACCATTATAAGCAGTCCGTCATTGACCAGAATGTCATTATGCAGTGCATGACTGTGTAAGCTACACTTTATGTATTATATATTCAACAAGAATCAATGATAGGATACTATAAAAAATAATTTTTAAAAATTACCTAAGGGGAAAAAGAGAAGAGGATGAAACAAAGAGTAATGGTAAGATTTCTGGGAATGTACTGTATTACACAGAGCAGTAGCCAGTCTCCATGATGACTCCCAATGACCTCTGCACATGTATGGCATATGACAATGGGTTGGTATCCTTTACATTCTTAAAAATTAGAAAGATTTAACTCCACATACAAAAATGACCAAAGAACAAGCAGAAGCATATGAGTATCTGTTCTCTTGTGTAGTCCTTCCCATACTGACCTATACACCAAGAGAATAGTACAGAAATAATGGTGAATTTCCTGAGGACAGGTTGTAAAACAGCCCCCTTAACTCTTTCTCTCGACCACTCACTCTGGTGGAAACTGCCAAGTCATGAGACACCCAAGCAACCCTATGGAGAGGTCCACAGAGGACTGACTCCTCCAGCCATGGTTAAGCTTCAGATGACTGTAGCCACAGTAGTCATTTTACTGCAACCTCACGAGAAGCCCTGAGCCAAAATTACAACTAAACCATTCCAGATATCTGACTCTCTCAAACTATATAAGATGTTTGCTGTTTAAGCATTTATGTTTTACGGCAATAATTACATAGCATTAGATAGTATACATAGTTTTGACTTTGAAAACATGTAGAGGATGACAGCTGTTGAGAAAAAAGGACTTAATCGACTACACAGTGTTTGAACAAGTCAACTGTAACAAAATAATTTTTAAACAATTAGACAAATTCAAATATAGACTACTACATATTGACATTAAGAATCATTGTTAAATTTGTTAGGTGTAACAATGGCATGGCATTTGTATTTAAAAAGAAGGTTATCAGTTAGACATGCATACTGAAATAGCTGAGTAAAATAACATGTTCAGAATTTGATTTAAAATTCTCTAGCAAATTTAAAGGGGGACAGAAAGGAAACAGATGAAAAAAGAATGTCAAAATATTGATGTGTTAAAGCCACATGATGGGTACATGAAGAGCAGATTATCTTATGTATATGTTCAAAAATTTACATACAGTTTTCCAGTAATAGGCACTGGCTTTATCTCAAGAAAGGTAACATAACCTGGTTTTTTAAATGATGCTCAATATTTTGTTGATCCTTAGTGAACAAATAATATATTAAGACTACACTCCTTGAGGAAAAACATTTACAATTCCAAGATTCCTTTTATGCGATTTAAGAAACAGCTCAGAATTTCTTAATTTTATTTTGGATTATTACACATTTTAAGAGATTGCTATGTTAATAAATTATAAGTAATACATCTTCATGTTAATAATTCTGCTCAAATTATAACCAGCAGTTGATCTAAATAACTGGCAAATTCAGAGACTTATACATCGTACATCAAAAAGTATCTATTAAAATAGCCTACAATTCATCATAGGAATCTATAAATAACAGACATGTTTGTCTAAAGCTGTGCTATCTAATACAATAAGATATAGTGGCTCCTGAGCACCTGAAATGTGGCTAATCTAAATTGTGATATACTGTTTGTTGTTTGATGTGTTTCAAATTAGTGTAACACCCCAGATTTCTAATACACAATTTTTTAAAAATTTAACTTTTTAATAGTGATTACATGTTGAAATACTGGAGATATTACGCTAAAAATTTAAATTAATTATACTTTTTCTTTAACTTTTTAAAATATAGTTGATAGAAAATTTTAAATTATATGTGGCTTCTTTCAGATAGCACTGATCTATAATTAAGAATCTATATCTAATGAATTTAATCTTTAAATTATGATACATATTAACAATTGCACAATTTTTTATATTGTATGTTTAATATAAACTAAAAGTAGCAGCTGTAGCAAGGCATACAATTAATGCCATTCAAAAAGAATGAAATATGTATCAAATGGTGTTAATCTGATGCATCTGATAAAGGGATCCTGATTGCTGGGAAACAGATGGGAGAAATAATCTTCCCTGTATATTCTTTCATATGTTTAAAATTTTACATATTTGAAAATGTTCTATTAAAACAAACCTTCACAGAATAATCTTAGATACTGTCAGTGGAACCTTAATTCTCATATCTTTGTACAGGAACAGCAAATATTATTTGGTACAATTATACTTCCAACTGTCATTCTACAATAGTAAACAATGGTTAAAATTGGATTTTTTTTAAACAAACAGTTTTAGTTCACTTGCTTGATATAATTGATATGTGCATTAAACTCTCATCATATTCAAACTCTGCTTTTGTCTCTGTTTCAACCCACATCTGCTTCAGTTCTAATTTGTTCTAGTTTTGGCAGTTGCAGTTTGGTACAGAGAAAGACTGTAACTAAAATTGGCTGAGAAAAGGTTTAAAGCAATGCGGTTCTTCCCAAATGACTCATTCATCAGCAAAATGTCACTACATGTACTTCCCTAATGACTAGTATTCACTCAATGGACAACTCTGAAAGTATCACCTAAGGATGGTAGAATTCTATTCCAAAAGTGGTCAGTTCCTTTAGTCTATTGTGTTGTTTTTAGCATGATTGATAACCTCAATCACTTGCTTCTGGTGCTGAAAATACTATCATCTGACCCCTTTAAACAAATAGTTAGAGCACCATCTGGTGTTTGTTTTAAAGTAGAATGTGTGGCTATAAGGGTCCTAAATACATAGGCAATTCACAGAAATAACATGTTAATATCTAAAATGCATCCTAGAGATCAGTATGTACTTAGTCATGTTCTGCAAAATTCCAAGGGTTTCACTGAGTTACCTCAGTGCCAGCTATCCAAAGTTTATGGCCCCAAAACCCCTCTCAACCATAGCAATGACTTTTTAACTGCTTTAAATATTGAGCTTTCAAAGGTGTATTTTATTCAGGACTAAACACATTTTTTTGAAGCCACTAGTTTAGTCCAATTTTCATATTTTACTGTGAGAGAATATCAAAACCCAGAAAGTCTAAGTTACTCAGCCAAGGACACATTATTATTATTATTATTATTATTTTGAGTTGGAGTCTCACTCTGTCGCCCAGGCTGGAGTGCAGTCGCCGCTCCCAGTCACCATAGCCTCGACCTGCTGGGCTCCAGCGATCCTTCTGGAAGCCTCTGCCTTCCAAGTAGCCAGAATTACAGGCATGTGCTACCACGCCCGGCTGATTTTTTGATTTACTGTAGAGATGAGGTCTCGCTGCCCAGGCAGGTCTCGAACCTGCGGGCTCAGGCAATCCACTCACCTCAGCCTCCCAAAGGCGCGGGATTACAGGCTGAGCCAGCGAGCCCGGCCAGGAAACATTATTTAGAGAAGAAAATTTTTACTTACAATACCTTGTTTTTTTCCATTAAAGATATTTTCCTAACTGTACAAAAACATGAAGGGCTATTAATCTTTCCTTCCCCCCCAAAATGACACTTTATCTCTATTTTTAAATTTAAAAAGTAGCCCCTAAGTATTACACAAAATAAGGTGTGAAGTCACCCTTCCAAATTTCACTCTCTTCTCCAAGGACATCACTGACACATATGAATCCTTCTCAGCTTTCAACCAGTCTCTATATCCACATAAACACTTTCTTAGATTTTGTTTTCCCCCCCAATAATCAAAAGCATACCTGACATACTGCTCTATTTCTTTTTAACACCAAATGATGTCACGTCAGTATACCAAAATTGTTCCTAGCTGTGTTCATGGCATGGACTGTATATGTAACATTGCTTACCACTACAACAACACTGCAATAAACATTTCTGCATATGTACCTTCCCACACATGTACTCCAAGCTCTGTTTTACCTTCAATCTGACCTGCTTGTGTCTGAGCTCCTGTATATGGTGGTTGCTGTGGCTGAACTGGTGGGTGAGCTGCTGAGGAAGAGGAAGCAATGCTGTCCGGTGTTCCTGAACGGTCTTCTGCAGGAGCACTGGGTGGCCCTGAGTGGTCATGAAAAGTCAGTTTAGTACCCAGTACGAAGTCTTTCCCCAGCAAGCTCAATTAATAAGTTTGGTTAAAAGAGACTAAAAAGTACTACAAAACAAGTGCATCACCACAAATGTAGCCTTTTACACAGAATAAAGTACATAGTACTTAATTTTTTTCCTTTGCTCCAATCTCTCAATCCAAAACTACAACTGGAAATCCTTACCTATAAATTATGGAGAGCTATATTTCTGAGTTCTAACCACCCCCTGCAAAAACCAAAACTCATGTCTGCAATAACAATAGCCCCTACTCCATGCAATATATTTTGTAGCTCAATCAATCACATCACTTCATTCTTTTTTTTTTGAGTTGGAGTCTCACTCTGTCACCCAGACTGGAGTGCAGTGACCACTCCCGGCCACCGCAGCCTCAACCTGCTGGGCTCAGGCGATCCTTCCGCCTCAAACTTACAAGTAGCTGGAATTACAGGCACGCGCTACCACACCCAGCTAATGTTTGATTTATTGTAGAAATGAGGTCTCACCAAGTTGCCCAAGCAAGTCTCAAACCCGCAGGCTCAGGCAATCCACTCACCTCAGCCTCCCAAAGCGTGGGATTACAGGCTGAGCCACCGAGCCCGGCTATATCACTTCATTCTTAAATGGGTCTCCACTGCCCATAAATTAAGTTCAACTCCCTAGTTTGGTATTCAAGAATCCAAACATTATTTCTAACAATTACTCTTCTCACATGCCCCCTTTCAGCTAAACTGATCTATGCCCTATTCTTACAATATTTAGCAGATTTTTTTTTGGCCTCTATTTCATTTATCACTGTTGTTTCCACTGTGCCCCTTCATATTTAAATATAGCATTATTTCAAACCTAGCTATAATTCCATACTACTAATAAGTCTTCATAATCGACTAATGCTTTTTTCCACTAGTAAACTACTATCTAGTTTACTTGTATTGATCCATCTCAATTTCTGCTTTGTATATCTGAAAAGCTCCCACCTCCCCTCTTAAGAATGCAAGCTCTTTGGGCCAGGCCCCTGACTCTTGATTCCCTTCAACTGTCTCACAAGGCCTAGCAGTCTAACTTACACATAGAGTCACTCAAATTCTTCTAAAATAATGAACATAAGCAAACAGAGAGAATATGCCACAGTTCCAATTTTGTGACAATCAAAAAAGATATTTTGAAGACAATTATAGATATGTCTTACTATTTTCAGTTTTTGTTTTGGCAAAGCAGAAGATTGGTTAAAATCACAGGTTTTGGAACCAGACTACCTATGTACAAATCCCAGAGTTGTCACTCATTGCTGTATCACTCTGGGCATGTTGATCTCTTTCTGTGCCTCAATGTCCTTGTCTGTACAAAAGATGTACTAATTCTTACTTCATAGGGTTACTCTGAGGATTGAGTTAATGAGAACTCATAGAAAGTGCTTTTTAAAGTGATTATATATTAGCTCAGCCTGTAATCTCAGCTATTTGGGAGGCTGAGGTGAGTGGATTGCCTGAGCTCCCGAGTTCAAGACCAGCCTGGGCAACTTGGCGAGACCTCGTCTCTACAATAAATGTAAAAAAAAAAAAAAAAAAATTAGCTGGGCTTAGTAGTGCGTGCCTGTAGTTCCAGCTACTTGCAAGGCTGAAGTGGAAGGACTGACAGAGCCCAGCAGGTCAATAATGGGGTGGCCGTGGTGTACCACTGCACTCCAGCCTGGGCAACAGAGTGAGACTCCAACTCAAAAAAAAAGTGATCATATAGTAAAAGTAAAAGCTTATATAAAAGGGATTACCACTCAAAGTTCCACATAAGTGCTTGCTATTATTTCCTCAGGGCAATAAGTACTTATTAATTTCCCTGAGGACAAGCCTCTATCTTCTGCTCTGGTTTATCCCCAGAACTTACCACTATGTTAGTCACAAAGTTGGCAGCTGATACTCCAAGTATAAATTAGAACCTAAACTAGGTTCTGATAGTGGTAATGCAAAAGAGGTTCATGATTATCAGAGTAAAACAGATGACCACTTCTGTCTGCCACTATTTTACTTAAATTTATATATATGCAGATAAATACATGCACACATTTTCCCTACAAATAATACTCTATTCTCCATATATGTGTATAAAACTTTGACTCCTCCTTCCTCCCTTGTATGTAATTTATTACAGTTAATGTTGCTCATTCTATCTTTGTAATACTTCACCCCTCCCTCCCATTTCTACATTCACTACAACAGCCAAACTTTTAATCACATCACACCTAAAGAAGTACAAAAATATCCGGGCTATCATCTGTGTGTATAGTTTTTCCTGTTACTACAAGGCTGTGAGAAAAATGGTCTTGAAATAATGTGGATCATGTTAATCATATTATTCTGGTATGGCATATACCACATCTAAATCAAAAATTTTAAGTCTGACCTCACACACAGTTATTCACTCTCCTATTTGGCACCTCCTAAAGTCTTAAGTAATAAGTAGTTGAAATGAGCTCAAATATATTTTTTAAATGTAACCCTTGTCTGAATGTCTTATTTTGTCAAGAACAAGCACCATATACAATTATCTGTCTCTTGCTTTCAGATTTTCACACAATTTTCTTTAGCCAATAATCCCATAAAAGTCTCAAATAAATAAATGGATAAACTAAATAAAATATTTCCAACTATTGATAATGGCAAAGTAAATCTGTCAGATAAACTCTCTGGATAACTAAAAATCTGAATGAAATAGAAGAAACTATTTGAAATAACTGGTAGCCAATGAAATGTCAGCACAAACCAGAAGAGTTTACCCCAATGGAATCACAACAGGTAAGAATTATAATCTCTGACCGCTGCAGCTCCAATGGCAGAAAATCATAGTGTTAACTTCATTGCTGAACAAGCAGCTTAAGATTTGGGGGGAAAAATCCCTGGAGTGAAAATGCCATTGAAGAGGTTAAGACCAAAAATCTAGGTATAAACTGACTAAATCCCTAGCTGACCATAGGGTTGGGAGGAGGAAGGGGCATAGCCCAAGAGAGTTAAAAAAAAAAAAAAAAACCCAGCACCTACAGCTGAAAGGACTAAGATATTAGCTGCCATACACAATGGAAAGAAAGAGCAAGGAGTTTTGAGTATGTGAAAGTTGTTGAGATCAAAATAGAGCCACTAATGTCAAAAACAAAACAAAACAAAAAACCCTAACCAAAAAAGCTGGAAAGGTCACGTAGAAAGGGTTCTCATGCTTGTATGCCTGATAACAAAAACTATCACAAAAGACTGCAAAAATCACACAAAAAATACCTTTGCAAGAACATTTACCTAGCAACTGCGTGTCCAACCTCAAATTGGTGTCACCCATGTTACTGATCTTCACAGCCAAGGATAATTATTTCAAAACATTTATTTAATCCTCTTCATTTTTTCCACTAAAAATGTTGTCTTCCTTTACCTTCCTGAATTATGCATAGCTTACTATGGCATGCATATTCCCAATGCAATGTTCTATTCCCAAACAAACATCTTTTTCTTTTCGGGAGCCCCTTTCTGTTTGTTATTTAGGTTGACAAATCCATAGAAATTAACTCCCTGCTAGAGCAACAATAACAAAAAAAAAAAACCCTCAAATGAACATAAAGAATTCCAAGTCACTACAACATATTAACCACAATGTCCAGTTTTCAACCAAAAACTATCATACATGCAAACAGGAAAATGCGACCCATTCTAGGGGTGAGGGATGTGTGTAGGGGGTAGGTGGCAGTCAATAGAAACTGACTCCAAAAAGGCCCAAATGTTGGATGTTGCAGACAAACATTTCAAAGCACTAGTCTAAATATTTTTAAAGAATCAAACAAAAATACATTAAAGAAGAAAAGGAAAACACAGTTGTCATGAGTGTGAAAATAAGGAATCTCAACAGAAAAATAGAAACTATAAAAACTGCTAAATTGAAATTCTAGAGCTAAAAGTACAATAATTAAAACAAAAAATTCAGCCGGGCTCGGTGGCTCAGCCTGTAATCCCGTGCTTTGGGAGGCTGAGGTGAATGGATTGCCTGAGACCGCGGGCGGGTTCGAGATCCGCCTGGGCAACTTGGCGAGATCTCATCTCTACAGTAAATCAAAAAATCAGCCGGGCATGGTAGCATGTGCCTGTAATTCTGGCTACTCAGAAGGCTGAGGCAGAAGGATCGCTGGAGCCCAGCAGGTCGAGCCCTCCAGTCTGGGCAACAGAGTGAGACTCCAACTCAACAACAACAACAACAACAAAATTCACTAGAAAGGTAAAGATTGGAAATCGCAAAGACCATGAAGAGAGTTCTACAGAAATCATTCAATCTGAAGAATATAGAGAAGTCTAAAGAAAAATGAACCTCAAAGACTCATGAGACAATATCAAGTTCAAAAAATTAGAATCTCACAAAAACAGAAAAAACATTGAAAAAATTAAAAAGAAATAAGAATAAAACAGTATAGGTGCTGTTTTAAGGCTAAAAGCTTATTCATATAAGAGAACTTTCTACACTAAAGCAAGTTAACCAGAAATTTACATTTAATTTTCAGTTTCTCTAAGACCAAAAGAGATAATAAAACCTATCAAATGTAATTCAAATACTGCAACAAATGTCAGATAAATTATAAAATAATTCAGATTTTTAAAAAATTCTAAATTTTACTTTCAATAAAATTTGCTTGAAACCACATAGTGCTTATTCTTTAAGGATGGGGTTCTATCTACTGATTGGCAGAGAGAACAAGTAAGCTTTCTGGGACACTGGAAATCATCTACATCTTGATCATATTTTACACAGGTGTATATATATGTAAAAATGTATTTAACTCAAACTTTAGGGTTTATGCACTTCACCATATCCAGTTATTCCTCAATTAAATAAAAGAGAAAAGAGAGAGAAGGAAGGAGGGAGGAATGAAGGAGGGAAAATAGTTAGGAATTAACTTACCTGAAACCTGATCATCTGTTAAGCCAAATGCTGACATAACATTTTTATTGATTTCATCTTGGTTTTTCAAAGGATCAAAAGCTGACATACTTGCTGCCATAACCTGAGTAGACTGTTTTCCAGAAGAATCAGAAGAAGCAGGCTTTTCTTCCCTACCATCCACAGTATCTACAAGATGAATAGAGGAATAAACAAAAACTTGTTTCCATTTTATTTACACTCAATGAGGCCTAAAAATACAAAATAGGGAAATATATTTATAAAATATAAATAATTTAGTCTGGAATGTATATCTGAATACAAGATTACAGATCATTTTACTTTCTTCTTTATACAAAATCAAGAGGAATGGGCAAAAAGAAACATACGGTAAATGACACCTATAAAAAAAGACAAAGTACCTCATCCTTTCCTAAGAATCATTAGGTGGAAAAAAAGATACAAGCTCCTTAACAAACAGAGAGAAACTTTTTTTTTGAGCCCTATGACCTATACCATGGTATCAGATACATACTAGGAACTCTGGAAATAAAAGTTATGATAACTAATGCTTTATTTTGTAAAAATATAAAAAGCTTAACTAATATTAGAATCTCAAACTTTATGTTTTATTTCTACTGTCTACTAGCACACTATTAAATTACATGGAACTCTAGCCAACCCGAATTCATGCTTAATTTTCTATTAATAGTACATTAAAAACATACAATGAATTTTCTACCCCTTATTTTAAAATACTTATTAAAATCCTCACAGACAAAATGTTATGTATGGAATCTATTTCAAAATAATATGGGAGGGATGGAACTGTGTAGGAGTACAGTTGACATGACACTATGAGTTGATAACTGATGAGGTTGAATGTGGGTTTATGGGATACATTATATTATGTCTACTTTTTACATATTTAAACTTTTCCATTAAAAATTTGTTAAAAATAAAATGATAAACATTATGAGAAGATTACGTTTAAAAACATGTTTTTCTTCTAAGAATACTAAGATATTCAACAGGTATTTACACTACCTACTTGTGAATGAACAAGAGTTAAAGAATAACCTAAGTTTACAAATAGGAACCCAAGGCCAAGATACAAAATAAATAAACAAACAAGTAAACAAAATGAATGTTGCTAACCATTCAGTCAATTAAAAGACAATGGGTTATCAATTTTTTCTATTAGCAAGTAATGAGCATCTATCATTAGATCATCCCTGTGGTCAACACAAAATTTATCTTGTGAAAAAAATGTACACACTAAGTAGAACATAAACACCCCGAGAAAACACAGGCTAGAAGCGCTCAATCATTTCTAACTTACCATTTCAGGTTACCCTAATATTACAAAACTTCTAGAATAAAACTCCCAGAAGCACTCCTTTAAAATATGTCTATCAGTTATCTATCTTTCTCACCTAGTTCCTTCCTCTAGTCCCAAGGCTATATCCCAAGAGAATACCACACCAATCTTATAAATTATTCCCCCTCACAACACTACTGCCTCTCACTGTCTATGCCTCTTTTTACTTATCACGAGCTAAATTCATCAGGAAGAATGCTGTATGTTCTACTATTTATTCCATTAGCTGCTAGAGATACTTCAACAGGTCAATCTTGTATTTAAGGTAGCTTATACATCATTTGAAAACAAGCCAAAAACCACTGTAGAAGTAAAGCACTGAAGACCATAGGTGGCCACATGTTTCTTGTTGTAAATATTAACAGTATTGACAGCTGATGGTAATTTTATTCTGTGAACCAGACTTTAGTTTCTGATGTTTCTGAGATTATTAAATCAAGATATGTTTTAAGAGTTTAGAAGTTTAAGAACTTTCACAGAAGCCAAGTGGCCAAGAGGTAAGTTATCTTACAAATGCAGGAGGAAAAAAAAATTAAGTTATAATTATCTTTAAAAAATAAAACACAAGCTATGTTATTCTTACATCATCTTACCATCAGATATGTCAGATAGGACACCATGAGTAGAAAATGGCCACACAGAGAAACATGTAGCATAATTTCCAAGATGCAGAGAAGGAACCAATTTTAACATCTTTCACATTAACAGAGGTAAGAAGTTAACAATAAAATAATATGAAAATATAGAAACACTCAATAAAGAAAAACAATGGACATAGTAGCAAGAAACAGGTGAGAAAGTTTCACCTGAAGCAAAAAACATATGATTCTATTCCTTAGACTAGAATGTGGGCCACTGTATCTAATTTGTATACAGTAATGCCTATACCAGTTAAATCCCCTGAAAATATATGCAAATATTGTGGTAGACTCTATGAATTTTACTAGGAAAATGGTCTAAAGTTTTCCCTGGTTTTGATCTAAATAACTAGAGCTTTTTGCTTGGAGAGAGATGGTTCAGGACAGGCAACCTGCTTTGATTTGAAATATAAAAGCTTTCATCATCAAGTGGCCAAGAGGATTTCATTATAGTATCTCAGCAAATCTCCATTATGTTCTGAAACTGAGGTGGAACTAGAAATTAATACTCAATCATCAAATATGTATTGAGCATCTACCATTCATGCAATTCCACATGACTGGAAGAAGAGAAAAATGATGAAAAATGCATTTCACTTAAACTATAACTAAATTAAGGACAGAAAACAAAAACTCCAAAATAATTTATTGGCCAAAAATATGATATATGCCACTTTTCCACAAAAATCATCTCTATTAAGTCCTTCAAATGCAGTCATCCAGACTAGATCAAAAAAATTACTATTTCACAATATGAACAGTTTTAAACATTTGAAAATTATAAGCAATTTTAAAAAATCAGTTTTTTTAAGTGTAACATCTAAGTAGCTTAAACAAAGTTGAGGAAATATTTTTAAATCTACTTTCAAGCCATAACACATACTTAAATTTCAGACCACATATCAAAATATATTTGGTCCCAAAACTGTATGTCAGTTCAAATCTGTCAATACATCTTGCTTTATCTTAACATAAATAGTACATGTCATCTGTAAAGGAAAAAAATTCAGTTTTTCTCTGAATATTATTATTAAAAAGTTTAAAATAGCTTTACAATTTACCATTTTAATGCACAGTACTAATCTAGAAGTATTTTTTACTTGAAACTACCTCCTTTACTACATAAAACTCATGAAATGATTTTTAATTCCTAGAGTTCATTATTTATTAAACTGAAGAAGGTTCATGAGTCAAAAGGATTAGTAATTGACTTATGTCATAAACCCAGAAGTCCAAGACTAGTTACAAAAGAATCCTTCAGAGAGCACTTTATTTTATTTTATTTTTTTGAGTTGGAGTCTCACTCCATCGCTCCGACCTGAGTGCAGTGGCATACTCCCAGCCACCACAGCCTCGACCTGCTGGGCTCCAGTGATCCTTCCGCCTCAGCCTTCCAAGTAGCCGGAACTACAGGTGCGCACTACCACACCTGGCTAATTTTTAATTTATTGTAGAGATGAGGTCTCATCAAGTTGCTCAGACGGGTCTCAAACCCTTGAGCTCAGGCAATCCACTCGCCTAGGCCTCCCAAAGCGCTGGGATTACAGGCTGAGCCACCGACAGAGAGCACTTTAAAAACGGAATTCCCAGGCCCTACCCTCTAGCAGGTGTATGATGAGATCCAGGAATTGGTATAATGAAACCTCCCAATAATCTTGACGAATAACTAGGTTTGGGAACACACCAGACATGAATACTAACACACAGACAGCAGCAGGAACAAGAAAGAGTGCCATCCTACTCTTACTTAAAAAAAGGTTTTAAAAAATCTGTAAAAAGACGTAAGAACAATAAATCAGAATAAAATAGATTCATAGTTTACCATTTTCAGGAATATTAGTGGATGGTCCTGGTTCTCCAGGTGGTTCCAAGCTATCTAATAATCGATTCACTTTATTTCGAAGTTCTATCAGTTCTCGACGAAGATATTTCACCTGACTTGATTCAAGGGGTCTTGGTTGGCCATTAACTGTAATAAAAGCATTAATTTACTTAAAATGAGGAGATGTTCTTAAGTATATCAATAATATGCAATAAGAAAAAATAAATACAATGCCTTAAACAAAAAAAAAAAGCAAACATACTGTTGTCATTTGAGTAACTCTTTTTAAGGACAGGATTCTTCACTGCTAATAACTTGCTTTGGAAAAAAAAAACATTCACCAGTCTTTCTTGACACCAGACCTGTGGCCTATGACCATACCAGTAAAAAGATTTATTAGAAAAATTCAACTACAATAAAATAAAACCTATACTAAATTAAAAACTCTACTTTTTAATATAAAGTATATAACTTCAAAAGTTCATTTTATTTCACACTATTTAATATTCTTGAAATAATACAAAAAAACCTTAATCTATAAATAAATGTTAAAAGATACAATATGACTGATAGGTCTGTTATCCCTCTTGCCTACTTTTGTCTTAAAAAAAGAAAAAACTGCTAATTATAACAGATGATCTAAAAAGTAAGTAACCCATTAAAAAATATACACAGAATTTATAAATCTACATCATCATTGTCCTTCAAAAACAGTTACTTCCAGAGATACTACATAACCCACAAAAGGTCAGAGACTACTCAATAATCACTAGTTTTAATGAAGGCAACATTACCTCATTTAATTACCCATTTTGTCCAAATGACTTTCAGCTGACTGAAAAAAAATGAAATCCTTCATTCAGCAACAAAGACTGTCACCACCGAGGTTATTTAAAAAAAAAAAAAAGAAAGAAAAGAAAGTGACACAAGGCTCTGAATGCAAACCCCAAAACAGGAGTTTAAAAATTAAACTAAATGCTTTACACACTGCCAGTACACATACACACAAACTCCTGAAGCACCTAATTAGAAAAGGACGTCTGCTTAAAATAAGGTTCAGGGAGATGAGATTCTTTGGTAAATACGTCTCAAATATCAAACCACAAATATAAGCTTCAAGAAGAAAATCTACCAGTAATTCACATATTTCCTGCCATGGCTTCGTGCAAGTTCAATACCTACAAGTTCAATAATCTCCTATCTACATCAATTAATTACTGGCTTTCACTTGGTATTATTGGGTTTTCTCCAATATCTGAGAATGAGAAAAGCAGCGCCTGACAGCCAGGACCTGGTCTGGTACTGTGAGATAGACCTTAGTGTCTCTAGAGCGGGACTGTAGTGTTCTCCTGTTGGTCAACATCAGACAAGACAACTGTGTGACTGTGATAGATCAAGAGTTCATATAATCATGTCAAAACTCAAGACAAAAACAAGAACACTAACCAAACCACAAAAATGACCAAACATTCCTCTATCCTGGCAAATATGAGTGACTGCTATTGCTTTACCAATTACAGCTTTAGCCTCAGTTCATTCTTCCCACATTCTAGATAAATTTCATAAGACACCCAATCACAGAATCACCTCCACTTCCTCAAAGTATCCAATCCACAGCAAAGTCCCACTTCCTTGAACCTTATCCAAAATCACCTAACACAAACACAATAATTTACTGATTTTTCCTTGTTTCATCAATTTTTCCTTAGGAAAAAATCTAAAGCCAAGATGCATACGTATTCAAACTGTTACATAGTCCTAGTAAAGTATTCTTTTTATCATCATAAAGTGACTATTACTAATCAAGTTTTTACATAAGTCTATTGTTATTAATGGCCAGCTTTCTTTGCATTTGTCTACTATATCTTTTTGTAGCCCTTTAATTTCAAACTGCATAATAGAATCTTTTAGTGTGTCTCTTAGAAGCAACATATAACTGTATTTCTTTTATTTTTAACTCCAGAGATTCTGTCTTTCAACTAGTACCTGTAGTCAGTTAATGTACACTGTGATTAGCATTTTCTTCTATTTAATGAGTTTTCTCTTTACTTCATTTCTTCCCACCTTGTAGTGAACTAAGCAGGTGAGTACCCTTTTGTTTCCTTTTTTTTTCCTCTTTCCTGGCTATTTTTTCTTTTCTTTTTTGAGAAAGCAGGGTTTATTGAGAAGACAGAAAAGTTCCCAGTGGAAGAGGACCTAAGGGGTTGTCCTAGTTCTTATTTTTCAACAATCACTCTTACATTTTACAAAAACATACTTCAATTTTAAAATTTTAAGGTTAGCCAGGCATGGTGGCTCCCGCCTATAATCCCAGCACTTTGGGAGACTGAGGTGAGAGGACTGCCTGAGCCCAGGGGTTCAAGACCAGTCTGGGCAACTTGGCAAGACCTTGTCTCTACAATAAATAAATAAATAAATAAGTACATAAATAAATAATTAGCTGGGCATGATGGTGCATGCCTATAGTTACAGCTACTTGGAAGACTGAAGCAGAAGGTATCACCTGAGCCCAACAGGTGGAGGCTGCAGTGGCCATGAGTGTGTCACTGCACTCCAGCCTGGGTGACAGTTAAGATTCCAACCCAAAAAAAAAAAAAAAAAATTTTCTAAAGTTAATTATAATGGTCCTTCAAAATAAGTCCTTAAAATATTTTTCCAGCTATTTGGAAGGCTGAGGTGGAAGGATCGCCTGAGCCCATCAGGTCGAGGCTGCAGTGGCCATGAGCATTCCACTGCACTCCAGCCTGGGCAACAGAGTAAGACTCTGACTCAAAAAAAAAAAAAAAAAAAAAAAATTTGATTTCTATCATCTCCTCCCATCTTACATAAAATTATTGCTCATAATTTTTGTTCTAATTTTTTATACTCCTAAAACTATTAGTGATTTGTGTAATCAATGCTCATTTAAATGTATATAAGTTAACCAACCAGTTAATTTGCTCATGACTGATTCTCGCATCTTTCACCATCTTCTGGACTCAATTTCCTTCTTGTTGAAGAATGCTATTAAAAATTCAAAACAAGAATCCATGGATTGAAAATCCTCGACCTTTGTTTGAAATGTGTTTACTCCTGGAGTTTAGCAGACTATAAAATGCTACTTTCCTAGTTATTTTCCTTAACCATTTGAAGATATGATTCTAATGTCTTCTAGCTTCTGTTATTACAATGAAGAAGTCTACTGACAGTCTGATTGCTTCATAGGTGATCAGTCTTATTGTCTCCGGCTACTTTTAAGATAATCTTTTTATATTACATATTTTTCTGTTTCATGACAAAATGTCAATAGGGATTTATTTTTACTTATCCTGCTCAGAACTCACTATGCCTTCTAAATCTGAGGGTTTACATATTCTTTATATAATTCTGCAAACTGTTAACATATTTCTACTCCCCACTCCCTCCTTTAAATTCTTGATAGAAATACACTGGACTTTCTCATTCTCAGTTTCTCTTTCATATTCTCCATGTCTGTGTTTTTGTGCTTTATTCTATAATTTCTTTGGACTTCCTTTTCAGTTAACTAATTCTCTTTTTAGCTCTGGTTAATCAGTTGTTTAACCTATCCACTTAGTATTTAATTTTGATGATTATATTTTCCTTTCCAAAAGCTACCTTAAGTTCTTTTTCATAGTGCCTTGTTGTTATAGTCTTATTCCTTCTCTTATGTCTCTAATAACTTTTAACATACATTTTGTGGACTATCATGTCTATTAACTAATCCCACTATAGTTGTGTCCACGGTTTCTTGCTTACATGGACGGTTTCATGTGTCTTGGTTTTAAACTCTATGTTCATCAACAGGATTTTGTGAAAACTATGTGGCCTGTATTGAAAATATACCTTCTGGAGACTTTTGCCTTTGCTTCTGCTATTTTTTAATGGTAATATCTTGGCTTAGAAGTTCCAAACCACACAGATAGTTTAAATTTAAAGCCAAATCACCTAAAGACCATGATTATGAATCCTCAAGGAAGACTTCCCAAACCCCTGAGAGCCCCAAGAGATAGCAGTCAAGCTGCCTTAATTTTTCATATATCAAGGGAGAAAATTTTGTTTTCTACGATAACTCTTTTTGAAGAATAGCCCACTGAGCATCTAGGACCAAAAGCCTACACCATACACACCAAATGACAAGTCCTTAAATTATGCAGACTAAACTTTCACCATCACCACCAAGAGCATCCCAAGTTTCAACTTTTAGATATTTCCCTTGCTTTCCTGGACACACTGAGTTACAGAATTTAAAAAATGTATTTGTAATAGTTTTTCTAGCAGGCCCTCAGTGTCTTTAGGAAAAAAAGTTTTAAGGTTATCTAATCTGCCTTATACCAGGCCAATAGTTAAGTGTGTTAGATTCAACATTGTAAAAAACCTTTTAAAAATTTTAAATGGTTTTTGTTATTAACTTTTAAAAATCTGATTCATATTCATCCTTCCTTGATGGAGATAAGCTGCCAGAAATTAAATCAACAAGCCATAATCATATTTCATACTGAGCATTAAAGTTCAGAGCAACATAACTTTTTAAAGAATGCTAAACAAAACAATCAGAAAAAATGTACACATTTTATTTTTCACACAATCATGCTACCACTTTACTCGTATAATCATTTCTATCTTATCCCTTAAGAGTTCTACATTGCAAATCTATTAAGATCTAAAAGAGAAAATACAACAGATTAAAATTTGTCTTAAATTTGTTTCTATCAGAACTATCTTTAATCTTTAAGTACTCCTTGGAAAATATTGTCTAAAATATCGCTTAAATGTTAAGCCCTGAGAATAAGTAAAGGCATAATATACCATAATATAATATAGAGGAAGATAATTATAAATTCTTAGAGAATGCAAAGATTGTTTTAATCCTATTATTATTTTTTTAAGTTGGGGGTCTCAACTGTTGCCCATGCTGGACTGCACTGGCATATCATGGCTCACCACAGCCTCAACCTCCTGAGTTAAGGTGAACCTTACCCCTCAGCCTCCCAAGTAGCTGGGACTACAGGTTGCACTATTTTTTTTTTTTTTTTTGGAGAGACAAGGTCTCACTATGTTGCCTAGGCTGGTCTCAAACTATCTTCCTGCCTTGGCCTCACAAATTGCTGCATAAGCCACTGCACCTGGCTCTGCAATTTATTGTAATCTTGATACCCTTATACAAGAGACAAACATTACTATTTAGGGTTACAAAGCAGATGTGAAATTGAAAATATGCTTACTTTCTATTACTCTTCCCCCTAAAAAAAAATAAATAGCCTAAAAATTCAAAAACAGTGATATAGCTACATTAAAGTTATAATACTGTATTAGGGACACCCAAGTTACATCTGATTTTAAGTTATATCTGATTTCTTTCTTTTTTTTTTTTTTTGAGTTGGAGTCTGACTCTGTTGCCCAGGCTGGAGTGCAGTGGTGGCACGCTCACAGCCACCCCAGTGTCAACCTGCTGGAATCAGGTGATCCTTCCTTCCACCTCAGCCTTCCAAAGCAGAACTACAGGCATGTACTACCAAGGCTGGCTAATTTTTTTAATTTATTGTAAAGATGAGGTTTCGTCAAGTTGCCCAGGCCGTTCTCGAAGCTGTGGGCTCAAGCAATCCCCTCACCTTAGAGCCACCATGCCCAGCCTATATTTGATTTCTTAACACACTCTCTTCTTACAAAATTAAACTTCCATTATTTTCTGAAACATACACGGCCAGAAGTTTCAAGTAATTTAAAACCACTTCTTGAACACAAATTAACTTGAATTTGTCTAAAGTATCAAATTAAAGTATTAATTTTGCATAAGTGATTGCTTAACTCTGAGCCTTTAAAAAGAAAAAATCCAAAAAGTTCTTAATAAAAATACAACAAATAAAACAATAAATTTATTAGAAAGTTTACCACTCACCAAATAATGTCAGTTTCAGTATCCTACTACATTGTATTGCAAAGGAAAGATCAGAACTATCAAAAATTGTTATAAGATCTCCATCTGGAATTTAAAAAAAAGAAACGATTTTCAGATTTGTATGAGCAATAAACTAGGACACAGTCAGACCATAAACTCTCCCATAAAACTCTCAAATATGAAAGGATCATCTCTCAAAGAAGTATTCGTTCAAACAATTTTGCTTATGGCAAGGTATTTATCATATCCTCATAAGAAAATGTAGCTATTTAACTTTTTCTAATCAGCAGAATGAAAGTTACGGTAGCAATATCACAAATTATTTAGACTGAAATCTTTCTGTTTCAAATATTTAAATATATTTACCAAAAGTTAAAGTAATAAAGATTCTCAAGGCTCCAGTCCTAAATAAAGTTAAGATACCACAGACAAAAAGGGAAGAGAAACCACATAAACAATAACTAAAAGTGTTGCAAAAAAGAGGTTTTGCAGAATTGCTTTAATGAATGAACAGACAGTGAATTACTTCAGGTCACTGACCATTTTGATACTAAGATGAAAACAGTCAACTGTTCCCAGAAAAATATGTATAAACACAAAATAGTTCATATTTAAGACTGAAATCCCCCAGATCCCAGGGTCAAAGAATACTGTAATTAGCTTATCAATTGCATGTTCCAAACACTTTCAAAGGGCTCTAGAGAAAGTAAAAACAGAAAAGCAACCATAAGATAAGGAATTGGCAAAGGGCATCTCCAGAACATCTTCACAGACATAGGTGGGCAGGGAGGAATTTTGTACTGGGGAGGCCACAAAGTGACTCCAAGGATGCTCTACTGCACCAATTTTGACGTTAATTAAGCAGATTCATTTTAGACAAAGATGGCAATATCTGAGGAGTTTATAATGGTTTTTAGCTCTTTATAACCAGACCCACTTTTTATAACATAGCATGTCTAATGTTCAACTTTCAGAGATTCTAGCCATAAACACATTTTTAAGAAAATAAAGCATATATGTAAAAAAAGGAATCTTTCTATAACTGCCCCTTTTTCTTTTCTGAATCCCACAGTAGAAACAGAGTATCTCTGATGGCAGGAACTTTACCTGAAGCCATCCCTCAACTCTAAGTGTCCAACACAGTATAGGGAAAACAAATCAGAATAACTCAAAACACTTTTTAAAACATCAAGAAAAAAAGTACAACATTGTAACCAAATGTAGAAAACAAATTTCAAAAATGAGTATACCCCAAGCTAACAACTGTGACCAACGGATAAACATATAGAACTGGGAATAAATGGTTTTTACATTTCTAAAAGGTTGTTAAAAAAAAAATGATGATAATGATGAGACAGAGGCCTCGTGTGACCCATAAAGCTATAATATTTGTCTGATCTTTTATAGAAAAAGTTTACTGATCCTTGCCCTAAACAAAAACAAGTTAGTTAAGAGGAAGCCAGTCAGTAAAGTCATTTTAAGAAACACTAAGTTTAAGGCAAGAGCAAAGCATCTCAAAAAAAGACAGTTAAGGAAATCTAGCCAAAGCAATTAGGTGAGAGAAAGAAATTGGAAAGGAATAAGTCAAATGGTCTCTGGTGCAGATATTACCTTATCTACAGAAAAATCCAAAGACTACCAAAAAAGTTCAGAACTGACCAATCAATTCAGTAAAGTTGCAGGATACCAAGTTAATATATAAAAATCAGTGATATTTTTATATACAAACAACAAACTAGCTGAAAAAGAAATCAAGAAGGCAATCCCATTTACAAAAGCTACAAAAAATACATATATAATAGCTCCAAATAAATAATAAATACACAGGAATAAGTCTAACCAAAGAGGTTAAAGACCTCTACAAGGAAAACTACACAATACTGAATACAAACAAATAGAAAGACAGCCCATGCTCAAGGATTAGAAGAATAAGTATTGTTAAAACAACCTACAGATTCCACGCAATCCTTATCAAAAGATATTCTTCACAAAATATATATAAGAAAAAATGATATTCTTCACAAAAATAGAAAAAAAATCCTAAAATGTGTATGGAACCACAAAAGACCCCAAATAGCCAAAGTAATCCTGAGCAAAAAGAACAAAGCTGGAGATAACACACTACCAGACCTTAAAATATACTACAAAATTACAGGAAACAGCATGATACTAGCATGCACATAGATTAATAGAACAGAACAGAAAACCCAGAAATTAATCCACATATTGACTATCAAATGAGTTTTGACAAAGGCACCAAAAACATTCCTTGGGGGACAGTGCTGGAAAACTGGATATTCATACGCAGAATGAAACTAGACCCCAAGTCTCACCCCATACAAAAGTTAACTCAAAATGGATCAAAGACCTAAATGTAAGACCTGAAAAAATAAAACTACTAAAAGAAAATACAGAGGAAACACTTTAGGATGTTGGTCTGGAAAAAAGATTTTATGAAGAAGACTTCAAAAGCACAGACAACAAAAGCAAAAATAAATAAATGGAATTTTATCAAACTAGAAAGCTTTTCTACATATCAAAGAAAACAATCAACAGAGTGAAAAAGACAACCTACAGAATGGGAGAAAATACTTGCAAAACTACTTATTTGTCAGGAGATTAACAGGAGAATACAGAAGAAACTCAAACATCTCCAAAATAAAAAAAACAAACAATCCAATTAAAAAATGGCAAATGATCTGAAAAACGTTTCTCGAAAAACATAGAAATGGTCAATACATATATGAAAAAATGTTAAACAACACAAATCATCAGAGAAATGTATATCAAACCATAATGAGGTATCATCTCATCCCAGTTTTGACGGCTATTATCAAAAAATAAATAACTGGGGAATGGACCACGTGAAACCCAATCTCTACATACTATATTCTATATCTACATAACGAACATACCTATATACCCCAGGAATCTAAAATAAAGATGAAAAACAAAAACAAAAATAAATAAATAACAAACGATGACAAGGATGCAGAGCAAAGGAAACTCTTACACACGTTGGAGAGAATATAAACTAAACTAGCACAGTCACTATGGAGAACAGTATGAAGGTGTCTGAAAAAAACTACAGATAAAACTACCATATGATCCAGCAATCCCAATAATGGGTATTTATCCAAAAGAAAGGGAATCAGTGTATCAAAGAGATATTTGCACCCCCATGTTTATTGCAGCACTACTCACAATAACCAAGATATGGAATCAACTTAAGCACCCAGCAGTAGACAACTGGAAAAGGAAAATGTGGTATAGGTACACAGTGGAATATAATTCAGCCATTAAAAAAAAAAAGAAAGAAATTCTGTCATTTAAAAGTAACATACACGGAACTGGAAGACATTATGTTAAGTGAAATAAGACAGGAACAGAAAGTTAAACACCACATGTTCTCACTTGTGGAAGCAGAAAAAAACTGATTTCACTGAAGTAAAAAGCAGAACAGAGGATATTAGAGGCTGGGAAAGTAGGGAGAAGAGGGCATAGGGATACAAAATTACAGCTGTATAGGAGGAATGCATTCTAGTGTTCTACACTAATGCAGGATAACTGCAATTAATAATACTAAATAGTTTCAAATACCTGGGAGGATACTGAATGTTCCCAATGCAAAGAAAATATCTTAAATGATGAATTTGCTAATTACCCTGATTTAATCACTATATATTAGATGTACTGAAACATCATTATGTACCCCCATGAATATATACAATTTTATTTGTCAATTTAAAATAACTTAAAAAAAACTTTTGGGACTTTGCAAAAAAAAAGTTACAAATTTGAACTGTAAAGTCAAGGACAAGAGTAAATTGATCAAATTAGGGCACAAATTTAGAAGTCAGAGGCAAAAGTCAATGTTTTATAAGCAGATGAGATTACCAGGGAAGAGAACAGAAAAAAAAAATTGTTCTCCTTAATTGTTTCTTAACATGAGTAAGTACCAAAAATTTGTCTAGGGTGCTCTTAGACCATACATCACTAAAGAAAAGGGGATTACACCTGTAGCCAGATGGCCAGCTTATTCGATTGCCAATGATTTACACTCCTCTTACATAGTATAAGTTGTAGGAAGTAGGTGCCCAGGCAGAAACTACATTTCCCAACCTATGTGTATCTCAGCAGAGCCATGTGACTGGGTCCAGGCCAGCATGATATGGGTAGAAATGATATACTACACCTTGAGGCCTAGGAAGTAAAATCTCCCAAGTAGTTCTTCATACTCTGTATTCTCCTGCCTGACTGTCAGATGTCAATTCCTAAAGTGAGCCTGCAAGCCAGTTGTTAAAATAACACAGCTGGGCTGGGCTCAGTGGCTCAGCCTGTAATCCCAGCACTTTGGGAGGCCAAAGTGAGAGGACTGCCTGAGCCCACGGGTTCGAGACCCGCCTAGGCAACTTGGTGAGACCTTCTCTCTACAACAAATCAAAAAACTAGCCGGGCATGGTAGCGCCTGTAGTTCCGGCTACTTGGAAGGCTGAGGCGGAAGGATCGCCAGAGCACAGCAGGTCGAGGTTGCCAGCAGCGTGCCAATGCACTCCAGTCTGGGCAACAGAGTGAGACTCCAACTCAAAAAAATTAATTAATTAATTTAATTTAATTTTTAAAAAGAAACGAAAGTCAGATCCAATAAAAATAAGTGGATGACAAATGGATACATTAAAAAAAAAAAAAGAAAATAACACAACTTCTGTCGGCCTGGATCTCTCAATGATTTCTTGAGTGTTAAACGACTACCATTTTAAGATTTCTACTATAGCAGTTGGCATTACTTTAAGCCAACAATCACAGAGACAAAGAAAAAACTATTCGTGATAAGAAAACCAGGATAAGAACAGTGTCAGAGATGTTAAGTGATAAGAGTATTTCAACAGGGATAGTGTAGGTAGCAGTGCCAAACACTGAGATCAAGATCAAATAGTGTACAAATAAGTGCAAGAGTAAAAAAGATACTGGTAACCACCTAAAGAGTAATTATCAGTAGAGATGGTAACAAAGGCAAGGTAAAGAATAGGAAATACAGTCTACTACCATAATTCCACTGTGTTTAATGAAACATTTGTCATGTAAAACCCATTCCATAAAAATAGTTTTGTGGTAAAATGAGTCTGGGAACACGGAATACCATAAACCGACAATGTATACCAGGTATTATACATGCTGAGAATTCTTGCAATAAAGAAACACATTTGTCTTTGTTTAAATCAGCTTTGCCATATTTAGTTGACATGAAATCCTTTTTCATTCAGTACATACCGAAACCTCTTTCACTTTGAAAAATAAGAATAAAATAAGAATTTAGCAAAAAGAAAATCAAAATTGTATGAGCAGAAGGAGAAAAAAATGCTTGTTAAAATGTATGTGAAAATGTTCTAACACTTAAAACTCCCTTTTAATAATAAACCATTTAGTTATTTTAACTTGTAAGAGAATTATACTAACTACACGAGTATCCCATTCAATAAAAGAAAGCAGGCACTCAACTATCATGAAATAAAAATGGCAAAATACACATACAATAATTAGACTTTTAAAAACACTGTAAAACAACTCTTACCTTCATCTTTATACTTTATTGTGACTTCATCATTACTCAGAAGTTTTCCTCTGAAAACTCGTTGCATCATTAGCACTAACTCATCGTAAGTAATATCTTCATTATGAATAGGAATTCGCCGAATGTCCTCCCCAAGCTGAGCTTTGATGATTAGCTTCCCACTTAGATCCAACTGTCCATTCATGGTGGACTCCAGGATGGTCTATATATACAACTCTAGAGAAAGACTGACAAAAGTGGTTTTGATGATTTAACAACAACAACAAAAAAAAATGTATCTCAAAAGCTGATAAAAGAGCTGTAATTCGAATCTAAGAAATTTCAGTCTTCAAATGATTCATTGTCCTCATGTTAAAATGGTCTAGAGACAACTTTGCTACATGAATAATAAATGAGGTTTGGGCCAAGTGCAGTGGCTCATGCCTGTAATCCCAGCACTCTGGGAGGCCGAGGTGGGAGGTTTGAGTTCAGGAGTTCAAGACCAGCCTGGGCAACACAGCGAGACCCCCTGTTTCCACAAAAATAAAGATTTAAAAATGAATAACAAATTAAGTTTTGCTATTGTTTTTTACATATATTTATATGTAACATTTTTTTCCTGAACTTATTTTTTCTTTTCCACTAGAAGACAGAAAGTAAACAATTTGGTTTGCTGTAATCTCAGCTACAAGAGTGCCTAGCACGTGGTAGTCATTCAATAGTTGTTAAAGAAAGGGAGTAATAAATACTGGCTTCAGAACTGTATTAGCCTATTAACTCTAAATGCTAACCCTGAAGAGAAAAGCATGCAAGAATATTAAAATAGAGCCTCGTTTTTTTTTTTTTAATCTCAGAAATAAGATAGACTTCCTAAGTATTTTCTCTGATTTCCTCTCTATTTGGGGAACTTGAGAATTGACAAATGTGTGATACCTTCTTGAGTTTTTTTTTTTTTTTTTGAATTGGAGTCTCACTCTGTCACCTAGGTTGGTGTGCAGTGGCACACTCATGGCCATCCCAGTGTCGACCTGCTGGGGTCTGGCAATCCTACCACCTCAGCCTTCCAAGTAGATAGAACTACAGGCACGCGCTACCACGCCCAGCTCATTTTGTATTTGCTATAGAGACAAGGTCTCACCAAGTTGCCTAGGCTGGTTTCAAACCTGCAGGCTCAGGCAAGTCACTAGCCTTGGCCTCCCATAGTGGTGGGATTACAGGCTGATTACCGAGCCCAGTTGTCCTGAGCTTTTTTTTTTTTTTTAGTTGGAGCCTCACTGTCGCCCAGACTGTAGTGCATTGGCCGTTCCCGGCCACCGCAGCCTCGACCTGCTGGGCTCCGGCGATCCTTCCGCCTCAGCCTTCCGAGTAGCCGGAATTACAGGCACGCGCTCCCACACCCGGCTGATTTTTTGATTTATTGTGGAGATGAGGTCTCGCTGCCCAGGCGGGTCTCGAACCTGCGGGCTCAGACAATCCACTCACCTCAGCCTCCCAAAGGCACGGGATTACAGGCTGAGCCACCAAGCCCGTCTTGTCCTGAGTTTTTTAACAAACCTGTTCCCCATGGTGCTACATAACCAGGTGGCCCCCATCTGGATGAATGTGTATGATTAGAATTCATACTTTAAGAGAGAAATAAGATAATATCAGAAAGCTAATCATTAAGTGCTAATTCACTACAGAATTTTTCCTTCTTGAGTTTTATTTTAATCTTTAATTTTATTTTAATCTTTAATCTTATTCAGCATGATTATTGTTATGATTTTGTAATTTTAAATTAAAAATAACATCTAATGTCTTTAGAAACATAAATCATTGCTAAATAATAACTGAAAATATACTTATGATCAAATAATGGGTAAATCTCTCTTCCTCTCAAGGTCAAGATGTCCTGAATATTTATCTATAATCAGTTTACTTGGCATCAACTTCTTCCTCCTTCTGCCCGAAGCAAATGCTCTCTCAAGACTGTTTAAGGTATCCTATAAACGCCTACTGGCCACAATCTGATTTCAATCTCAAGCTTTACAACTACAACATTCTGTTTCCTCCTCCTAAACGTGTTATTTCATTAACATCACCACACTTCTCTGCAATTCTTCTCTATCCCTTTTGGATGTGTGAAAGCATTCACCTGCCCCCAACACATCAAACATTTCAAAAAAATTTTCATAAATCCTACTTCATGGATATCACATATTAATGCACTAATCTTTTTTCACTTAAATGCCACAGGTCCTTTCATCTAACTATTCCTTTAATGCAGGGGTCCTCAAACTACGACCCGCGGGCCACATGCAGCCCGCCAAGGACATTTATTCCCATTTTGTTTTTCACTTCAAAATAAGACATGTGCAGTGTGCATAGGAATTTGTTCATAGTTTTTTTTTTTAAACTATAGTCCGCCCCTCCACTGTCTGAAGGACAGTGAACTGGCCCCCTGTTTTAAAAGTTTGAGGACCCCTGCTTTAATGAATGTCTCTTGGACCCCCATACCACTCTCTAGACAGTATATATGTTATAAATAATATTTAATGAAATGGGGCAGTAGAACTAAATATATCACTCTAAGGTCAATGTAGAAGGGAATGGACTTTGTTCCCCAATCTGGATACCATGCTTAGAATGAAAAATAAGGATACAGTTAGTTTTTTATCTGCCAATTCTCACAATGGACTTCGCATGAAGAATGTGATTACCTGAAATCTCCATGCAACCAACTCTTCACCTTCTGCAATGCCTTCTGCAGAAGGTGAAGGAAACATTTACTAAACACCTACTATGTGCCAAGTTGTGAAGTATAATTACTTCAACAAGATGGCAAATATTCCATCTTGTTTGCACTGGCAGCCTGAGAGTAAAAAAGACCTTTCAATAAATTAACATCTTTGTTACCTTCTACTCTCCACAGAATGTGTACACCAGCAATAACATAGATAGGGACCCAAGCTCAGCCTAAGTTAAGATGGTATTCTCTATTCCCAGCAGTATCTAGAGTAGTGCCTGACATATAGAAAGTTTTCAAAGAAATGTTTTTGTTCCCCGCACAAAAGATAAATGAGGAATAATAAAGTTCTGATAAAGGGTCTGGGAGAAGAAAACTGTAATATCAGATTAGTTCTTAAATCAGACCTTCACAATGTATCTCTTTATGCAGCTACAAGTGATCCTCCACGTCAAACCTACTCCTAATTAAGAGAAAATTCCAACATTGACTATGATTGGTGGTATGTCCTTTTGATTGTGGAATAGTTGTCGCTCAGTTCCAGGGGATCTAAAATCTTGAGTCACATATACACGGGATCTTCCACGTTTGCCTGGAAATTCACTTTTGGTGTTTCCCACGGATAGTAAACTCCCTGTGGCCAGGAACCAGTGCTTCTTTTCTAAGGCTGTCCCCAGTTGTGCAGCTGTCGCCTCCGGGTGAACACACAAGTATCACATAAGGGTACAATAAAATTTTCCCTTCAAGAGGAAATCCCATCCCCACATTGCTTTATATAACAGAATTCCTGTCCTCTTTTCTCTAACAAGGTAGTAGATTGGGATGAACCAGCTTCTAGAACTTCTAGTGAGATCGCTACAATTTCTTCTCCCATCGTGTCCTTGTCCCACCCCTTCTAAAGTCCACAAATGACTCGGCCACTTACTTGTATAACCCTCCAACAGAAACAGAGAATAAACTGGCATGCTCAGAGCCACATAAAAAGCCTGCCTCCGGAACCAGGATCTGGGCACAGGGGCCAAACTTCAGACTCCACTAATCCTGAGAGTTAAGACCCTGCTCAAATGCAGACGCTGCAGCTTAGGCACCTCCTGAAGGGAGCAGTTTCCTTCAAGAAATCCTACACCGCGTCAACCCTTAATCATTCCCCTGAGTGCAAGCTTCCTCGAATCCTGCCGGGCCAGAGGCGGTGTAGCAAGAGGGTACAGATTCGTGCTACGAGCTATGTGACCTCAAGTCCTTCTCGAAGGCTCGCCCTCATCCTTTTCAAAATGAGAATAACACTGTCTGAATGTGGATGGGTCCTTGGGGTAACCCAATGAGTTTGTGCCTCTAAAATTTTACTCAGGACAGTGCCCAGCAAAGCAAACTCTTTTTTAAAAAGTTAGCTATAATCATCACTATCAAACCGGGCAGGGCCTCCAGTCGGCGCTCGGTTAAGCCCTGAAGTTCCCCTTTGTAAGGGACCCTCATCAACTTACTCCCACGGACGCCACCCTTCACCCTCCTCACCCTTCCAAGCTCCTCCAAGGGGGGTCAGGCGCCGACCACCCCAGGCCCTCCAAAGCGCCTCTCCTCTCTCGATCCAACCGTGGGTCCAGGTGGACCTGCACAAGGGCCCCAGCTGGCCCAACGCCTCCCGGAGCCCCCGAGGGCCGCCTCCTGGCCGCCGTGGCCAGCGGCGGCTCCTCGCTCCCCTCCCCCTCCGCGGCTGCCCCCACCCCGCAGCGAGGCCCCGCCCGGCCTCCCCCCAGCCGCTCCCCGCGCCGGCCCCTTCCCACCGAGCCTCCGACCCGACCCGCCCGGCGCCGGTGGGTTCCAGCGAGGCCCAGCCTTCCCAGAGAGTGCGGCCGCGCCCCCCGTTTCCAGCGTCCGTACCGGCTTGCCCAGGCCGCTGCGGCCGCCTCCGAGCGGGTCTCCGCCGGCTGGGCCGCCGCTGCCGCCGGACTCTGGGGCGTCGCAGGGAGGCTGTGGTCACAGGCCGCTCGGTCGCCCTCCGCGGCCGCCGCACCTCGCTCACGGGCCCCGGCCGATCGCACGGACCCGACGAGTCCAGCGAGAACTCGGGCCCAGTACGTGGCAGGTGGGGGAAGAAGAGAGGCGGGAGCAAGAATTAAAAAAAAAAAAAAAGCCTGTCCTTTCGCCCCGCCTCACAGCGAGCGGGCTAGCCCAGGACGCATGCGCGGCGGCGTGGGGCACGCGGCTGACGAAGGACTGGAGAGGCCCGGGCGGCGCCGGCCGCAGAGTCAGTGGTCTCTCACTGGGCGACGGGGTGTAGGAAGTGTGAGCCGGACCGAGGCACGCATGCGCGGGGCGTGACCAAGCACTTCCGGTTTCCCGAACGCGAGTATTTCCGGTCTCCAGCCTGTGGGCGGGGCGTGATGTACCGTTCTAGACTTTTTTGAGCGCCTGTTCCGAGTAGCTAGCTATCCGAGTTTTAGTGATTTTTGTTGTTGTAGTTTTCGTTCTCCTAGTCATTTCCCGGAAAATATAACCATGTTCCCGCTTTCCTTCTACAAATCCATTCATTCATTATTGGGCGCCGGTGTTTTTGCCAAAAATGGGGATGAATCAATTTGTGAGCGAAGCAGTTTCCAGTTCAACAGGGAAGACTAGATAGCGTTTACGAAACAGGACAAATCAGGAACTGTGTAAAGAGTAAAGGCTGGGAAATCAAAGCTAAGTGTTCCAGGAGTGCTTTTTGAAGAATAAGGCATTTGAAAGTGTACCGTTCTCCATTTCTGGGTATTACCGTAAAAACAAGTGAGAACTTATAGCCGGGAGGTGGGGATGGATTGGAGGGAGGACCATCAAGATGGGAAGTTACTAAAAGGAAGCAACAGGGTAAGGGAGATTCTGGCTAAACTTAACCAACCAGATTCTAGATGATGATAGGTCAAGGTGATCAAACATTACCTAGGGTAGAGTGGAGGATGAGGAACCTGATCAGATACCCTGGATTCTTTCTAAACTAACTTAGCAGAGTTCTTTGCTAAAAACAGATTTTACAAAGAAGTGCACAGATAAGCCTAGGAGGAGGTTCAGGAGCTTTTACTAAAGTTTGTCCAAGCAAAGAATCTTTATCACTTCTAAGATGGAGGCTAAGCTAATAGGTAAAGCGTTTTAACCCCACCTAGCCCCAGTAGCTCACCGGATACTCCTTAAGGACCTGGAGTACAGTATATTCAGGTGTTTCAGGGTGCAATGTTGTGTTCTTTTAGTATTGTAAGTAGTGTGGTCTTTTCCAGTTATAAGTTTCTAAAAATTCTGTTTGAGAATGAAATATGTGAGTTTAGAATGCTGTTTGCTTTTGATTTGTATTTTTCAACAGTGGTATTGCCCTTTGAACAACTGTTTCCAGGGACTGAGGAGCAGGGGGCTGCAGAAGTTATGAAAGTGTTCCTGATTTTCCTCCAGAGAATGTCGTTCACTTCTTGTTTTTTTAAAGCTGAACAATAAAGGTTTGGAGAAATGTACTGCTGTCTGATAATAGTATTCTTTGAGATGGTTTGGGATTGAGTAAAACCACACCCATTTGGGCAGAGTAAAATATTTCCTGAAGGAAGTGAATTATATCACTGTTAATCTCCCTAGAAAGAGGTTAGACCTTGAGGAAGAAGATAAGGAGAGGAACCTTGGTCTGGAATGAGGTGAAATAATTTCCCCTCTCTAGATCCCCTGTGAAGGGACTCCCAAGAGTCCTGCCACTGAGGAGAAATAAACAGACCCCCGTTATACTGTCAGTTGCAAGCTAGGGAGAGAGGTACCCATAGGCTGACCTTTTGGAGGGACTGGAGGTCATGGACTCTGAGCAATTTGAGGTTCTTTATGTTGTAATTCTCTCATGATTCCCAGCTACCACTTGAGAGATGGGGTTGCGGTGATTCCTCAAGGCAAAACTGGCACACATTTCTGTACTTAGGATCCCAATAAATGCAGGTGATAACTGGCCACAGAGCCATAATCTGAATTGAACCAGTCACCTTCGTTACTAAGAACATGGTTTCTTCCACCATGTGTGTAGACACTGATGTTTAGTTATTGCTGCCTTTTATTATTGAAGCCAAAAAGGCTAAGTTATTCTTATGATTATCATTTACTAAGCATTTATGGTCACATTTATTGGAAACAAGAATTAAACATGCCATTAATTCTATACGTAATCACACCTTTAAAGTACTGCTAGTCAGAAAACATCTTTTTTTATATCAATATTTTTTATTTTGATATTGTGGGGTACAGTTAAGGGTTAGGTATACAAATACGCTTCGTTCAGGCACCCTTGTTGATAAGGGGTGTTTCCCTGTCCCTAGACAGATATTAACTGCTGTTAATCCCACCTCCCTTCCCCTCCCCCCCATAGTTTCCCACCACTGTCAGTCCTTTT